GATAAATAGCAGTGAGTAATGTATTATTGAGTTGTGTAGTGAGAACATGAATATTATTTAAGTGAGTGGACAAAACAGGCAATTTAAGTCAAGTGTGGTTCAGTGTAATGTCACCTGATTTAGAACTGAGGAAAGCAGATGGGAATATGTTGATTGTGGTGTGGAAGAGCAAAAGAATTTATCTATCCATGTGCGTAGACTACTAGCACACAGGAATTAAAAAGTAATGAAATGGTTGTCTTTGTCTTAGCAAGCTGGAATCCAAAGTGAGGAAATGGTGCCTCAGTTATACAGAGCCTTTATCGGAATTTAGAGTGCTGTGTTCATCTTGTGCATGGAGCCATAGGAAGTATGAATTATGATTTGGGTAAAGGACAAAATGTTGAGAAAAAATTGCATAAACTTTGTATTCTACTGTAATTACCAGGTTAGCGGATAGTCTGATCAAACTCTGAAAATGATAATGGGTTTTGATGAGAGCGCAATCCCCATTGTTGGAGGAAGCCCAGAACAAGGGGCAAAATCTTCAAATTGGAGCTGGACCATTTTTGCATGAAATCAGGAAACTGTGTTCCCTGTTGGAAATAGTGAGAATATACATCTTCTCCAAAGAGGCTGCAACTATTTAATCAGTTGAAATATTCAAGACCTTCATAGATTTATGTTGGCTTAGGGTATGCATAGATGAGGATGAAAAGTGGGTGAACGGAGTTGAGGTAAAGATTGTCCATGATTTAATTGGAGGTATAAACAGATTTCGAGAACAGAATGTTCTCCTTCTGTTCCTTTGTTCTTAAAAATGTAGTGCCCAAAACATCCAAATTCTACTCTCCAATAAATTTCAAAAGCAATCTGGTCATGCTAATTCTGTATGCTTGTATAGCAGGTAGGTTTCATGTTTGGTATTGTATCAGACATTAATTGTATAGTAACGCATCCCAGATGATGAGCATTAACTGGGGTTTTACTTGTGTTCCTATATGTAGGAAGATAACTAAACTTGTTCTTAGATGTCGCATGTTTATGATGTGTATCTTTGTGAATATAACTTTATAAAAGTGTGTAAGCCTTCAGGTCCAGTTCTATCTTTCACCACCTAACTTTCTGGAGTAGAAATCAAAACATTATCTTACTGGATATTTCCTGTAAATTACTGTTGCAGACTATTTTACAATCATTTGATGTGGTTTAGTGTCAAAGAGTCTGTAAAGTCAGCGTAACTTATTTTTAATAGAATTTATCTTGTTGTACACCAAGGTTCCACCAAGAAAAAAACATTCGGGATACTTTGACCTGGACACTTCATTGCAAAGACTAAAAGGGGTACCTTGCAAAAGGTATTTCTGTGTCTTTTTCTACAGTTTGGAAAAAAAAACCAAGTGGCATTCTTCAGGATTCAAGTGAAAATGTTTTCGTACAGGATGCATACTAAATTATTAGGCAATTCTTGAGAATTGTAAATTATATTTAAAGTTAAATGCTGATTTATATAAATCGGCTGTATTTTTTTAAACAATTCTACAGTTCTTCCTGAGATCACACTCCGTCATTAATTTCTTTCCTTAAATTGACTATAATGCAACTTGCAATTTCTTGATCAACAAACGTTGACATGAAGCTTTAATCAGAATGATATATTTAGGATGACTCATCTGGAGAGTGTGCTGTAGTTCTAATCATCTTAGGATTTGTTACTGTAATTCTTTAATCCATTTGAATTGGAGCTCCTTGATGCCACTTTTCTCATTATGATACATTTAAACTATCTGTGCCCACTTCCATGTCCAACCTTTCCCTGCTCTATAGCACACCCTTTGTTGTGAGATATTCCATGTAATGTATTTTCAAATACAGTGCTATAAGGGAAAAAAAACTTGGTGTTTTGGAATTTTAATAGTACCTTAGTAATAGAGTTGAATGCCATCTGCTAGCTAATTGCTGGTGCATTTTAAATCAATTTTCATTTTGTAAATTTTATGCTTAATGTGGCATTTTCTTTTTTGACTCAGTATTTTTGTGCATAAAAATGCTTGTCAAAACTTTTGCTGAAATTAATGTTGGATATCAGTAAGCATCTCCAGTCAAAAGTTAGAAGTACAGAAATGAAAAGAACTGAAAGCTGGAGGAGGGGGAATCTGTGTAAAATTCTGAATACAAAGGCACATTATTTCTGTTGCCATAATTACTTAGGAAAGCAACTTGAGCAGTCAGTAAAGTGGGATGGTTTTGTTGAAACATGTTTAGAAATATATTGGGTTATTTATTTGGACCAATTAAAGGTTAATATTTAAATGTTCAATTTTAATTGAATTTTAACAATATATTCTGAGTTTACAGAGTATTTGGATAATTTAATGCACAGAGGGGACAATGTTTGGTGTCTTCTAGTATCAAATTCATCGATCAAAGGATAAAGAGTATTTGCTTTTATATTATATTTTCTTTTCCTTTTATAGCCGGAGACAGTATTTAAGGCCAGAGAATGATGCTGACCAAGGGAAGCAGCTCCTGAGTGTCAGTGCTCCACCAGCAACTAGTCTTAGCCTGCTTGGAAATTTTGAGGTACAAATCATAACTCCACATGAGACATGCAGAATGAAATAGGCTAAACAATTGATCTAGTGTTCAGCTTATTTTGAGATATTTTTGAGTCAAGGTGCTGCTATTTATTTTTGAAATTCCAGTGAATGACTTTTACAAGATATGTTTAGATCTATTCATACATCCAGTTTTAATTACTATTTCTCAGATCTGCTAGCAAGAGTTTGGCATACGATCAAGTGAATTTTCCATGTTAAACATTTGAGTAGGGCCACAAATACTTCAAGTTTCCTACCTGTTAGTGGAAAGGTAATAAGCAGTGTCAACACAGTTACTGGTAGGTTGTTGTTCAAAACAGTTTCTGCTTTTAATGGATAGTATCATAGCTTGGGAGAGCAGCACGATCCCCTTGTCATTATCAGTGTTAAGCTAGGTATCCCCTATGATTTCAACAATAATATGGCTGTACATTAATTTATGCCAGCAAATCTGTCTGGAAGTCCTAAATATTTTCAAATATCTTTTAAGTAATTAAACTATATTACCAAAATTGCTGTCTTGAATCTGACTAGTTAGGCCTGTTTCAGCCAGTTAGGACAACTGTATATGCTCCTGATATACATGAGACAGGATTTTCTGATTACATGTTAAGAAGATTGTTAGGAGCTCTCCATTTTAAAGTGACCAGACATAAAGGAATTACAGCACAAGAAACTACAGCTATCTGTTCTTTCCCACTTCTCAATTTGGAAATGATTTGCCATATGGGTCTAAGTGGAGATGTTTGTTCTTCTCACAGTGAAAAAGTGAATCTTCAGAAAATTAAGGAGGTACTTCTAACCACACCAAATATGGAACTTGAAGTACTTTTGACTTGAATAATTCATTCTGTTGTATAACTTACCACAGCTACGTAAGTGTAACAGGCAATGTAGATTGATACAATGGAGAATATTAACAGATTGCGTACGGTTATAAATTGTGTGTCTAAAACTCTTGGTTTCCAAGCAGTATTTCATAAATTTCAATCTCAAGTCCATTTATTTTTGGAGAAAAGAATTGAGGACATTTTTTTCTTATTTTTGGAAAGTACTTTTTAAAAAATTATTAGTTATGATATTTTTCTGAAATTAATAATTGCTCGCACCGATTTTATGTGCTGTTAGAGAGGCAAGCAGTTTGTACATTATACTTTGTTTGTAGTATAATTGAGGCGCTTTTCACTTCTGTTTGTGTTACTGTGACATCACCAATTCTTACTAACACAATGTAAACTAGGAAGTATTTATTGTTAGTAAGGAGTTGTGACTTGAGAAATGTTTCAAGGTTAAGAGGATTTCCTTGAAATCTTTTATCATTAGCCATATATAGTCTAGTAGGACGCTATTGAACCCAATATCTTTATGTTTAGGACTCCAAAAGAACTTTTTTTCATTCTCCTGCCCTTCCTTGATACCCTTGTAAACATTATTGCTCCTTCAATTTTAAAACTTATTGATTTTGCTGCTGCTACTTTTATAGGAAGTCATCCATGTCTAAACGTATTCTCCTAATCTCACTATTTATTGTTTTGGTGAAGGTCTTGTATCGTACCATTTGGTTAACAACTTCTTGACCAGTGCAAATGGCTATACCCTGTTGGCTTCAAACAGAACTTCTCATAATTTTGAGCAGCTCTATTGACCTTATCTTGACCTTTTTTGATCCAGTGACTAGAACCCAATTGTTTTTCTTGTCTGTCCTTGTAACTGAAGCCTGCCATGAACTTCTTTTGCATTCTGTCTACAACCTGGATATCCTGCCTAAAATATGGCATCCAGAATTGGCCACACTTCTAACTTCAGCCTGTACAAAAAACAGAGACATTAAGGACTAACGCAGAAATGTTGAAATATTTCCTAACCTGTTTGTAATAATTCGGTTAGCTGTATTTTCAGCAGTGGTATGACATTTGAATTTTTAGGAGGAAGTAGTCAATTACAACAATTTCAACAGCATTAAGAATCTGTAAAATGTTGCACTTCACAACTGGAATTTTTGGATGACCAATAAATCTTGAAATGATATATTGAGGAAACATCTGAGAAAACTTAGTACATGGAAAAGAGCTAATTAAGTCAAGCTGCATAACAAATATGTGCTTCAAATAAAATCTGTCACTTGTTTATATTTTCCTTACATGACCGATTCTCAGCATGCTTTCTGCTTATATTTTGTGTGTATTCATATACATTTTAAAATCATACTTTTAATTCTTTTGCCAATTTTTGTGGATAATATTTTGAGACTGCAATGTGGTGCATATTTTGATGTTATATCTCACAAGCCTGCTTGGCTGTTGCACGTGCATTTGAGTCTAGAATCCACAAAATGATCTTAATGGTATTGTGATTTGCAACGATGGTTTGCCCAAATAATTGCTATTGGTCTTGCTGATCTTACAATGCATTAACAAACATAAACTACAAAAATAAACAGGAATTTATCATGGACATTTTATTGTTAGTTTTATACACAGTAATCTGAAATCTGCTAAACTAGAGATTTTTTTAGTCCATATCTTAAATGTTGATCAGAATCACATAGAATACAGCTCTGATATTTAGAAACCAAAAATTCTTTTGAGGACTATTTTCTGTAATAGAAATGAGGAGTGAAAGACTTGCAATTTTTAATTTTAACAGTAAAGAATAGAAACACTGATTATTTTTCCTTTCTTTCTCGGTGAATTGATTCAGTAATGTTTACTAACTGTTCATCCTTTGATTTGCTTTATGATAATCTTCCCAGCAGAAATGTGTCTAATCAAGTTTTGTCCGTAATAATAAAATTGTACATCTCCCTACATTCAAAAACAGTAAAGCAACAATGGTGTTCTTCCAGCTGTAAATATTGGGAATTTAAAAATAATTAAACAGAACAGAAAATTTATAGTATTTGCATGTTTCAAAAGTTAATTTATAAACTCATGATATTTCAGCTAAAATGTGTTCTTAGTTGCCCTTGAACTGAACAGTTCACCATTTTCAGAGTGCAGATAATAGTCGGCCATACTGCTCTCCATCTGGAGTCCTGTGTAGGCCTGACTGAGTGAGGATCGCAGATTTCCTTCCCTAAAGGATATTAGTGAAACAGATAGGCTTTTTAAAGCCGAAATTAAGAAAAAGATTAAACTACAATTCATGTCCAAAATTACGTAGACAGTGCTTAAACTGTCAGCTTAATGGTTCAGGTTTTTTGTTTTGCTATTTGCAGTAATTCATCCACACAATTTTGAAGTGTTGATTTCATTATAAGTGGAAATGGACTGTACAGTTGGGCATTGCATTGGGATTTTTAAACCATTTGCTGCTCATCTATTTAAGGTGCTAACAGGCAAATAATGCTCAGTTTATTAAAAAATTACGGTGATGCAATAAACATGAAATTATTGGTGAGACAGGTTCTTGGTTTTCTGTAAATACTTGGCTCCAAGATAGTCCTGTTCTACCAAACTGTCACTAAACTTGTTAATAGAACGATTGCAGCAAAATCTTTATTAAACAGATACTTCATGGAGAAATTAGCTGCACCAGTGTTGACTTTGTTCACCTACAGAGCCTGAGTTTACTACAACTGTTGTTTCAATTGCCCCCAGTGGAAACCTACCTCGTCTGAGTGCACATTAACAAGGCCTTTATAAATAGTAACATATTTTCACCAAATTTACTTTTTTTTTGATCAGTCAAATGGATGTAACGCACCAGAGCAAAATGTAGTGGTGGTTTATGCTAATATCCCAGTTTCTCTGTATTAATGCAACTAGTATCTAACATTATGACCATTTAAACAGCAACAGGAGACAGTCTCATGTTGTTTGGCTCATTACCAGAATGTACATCAATTCCAACTCAAAATTAAACACTCCATTTTTCCTGATCTATTTTAAACAGCCATAGAAACATCCTGATTTTACTAAGAATTGAATTTCATATATATTAACATTAAAATATTTTGTAAATCCTTACAAAATTTTAATGCAAGCAGAAAATAATTACATTAAAAAATGAAGCAGATGTATGGTGCAAAATAGTATAGGAACATATAATTCTGTTTGTTAGGATCAGATTTCTTTATGGACCTATATAAGGATGCATGGAGGGCTGCAAATAAATTGAGCAGTTCTTATGGTATCATAAATTCTAAATGCAGCTTAAACATATTATGACTACCCTTGGAACTTCCAAAATTGGGATACACCTTTCAGTCTTCCAGACTGCATCAGTTTATTTCATAAGATATTAAATAGAAACACAAGAAAATGGAACTAATTTTATGGTGGATTGTTTGTATTAAGAGACTTTTATTCAATACTGGGATTTTGTGGATATTTACATGATTAATGCATTAACTTGATCGCATATATTGTGTGATTGTTTACTGAGCTGTATTGTTTATAAAATAAGAACAAAACTATGTAAATTGATCCAAACTGCCTGATAATGTTTACATGTCTTTGAATGTTCACAGGAGTCCATCCTGAATTTCCGCTTGGAACCTTTAGGATCTGTTGCTGGTTTTACCGCTGAGGTGGGAGCGAGTGGAACATTCTGTCCCAGTCACATGACTCTTCCAGTTGAAGTGTCATTCTACAGTGTCTCTGATGATAATGCACCATCACCCTACATGGTATGTGTTATTACACATTCCTGTAGTTAAAGACTTGTGATCAAGGTCATGGTGTAGCAGTATTTGGTTAGGACCCATATCTCTCAGACTGGTAAATCACTCACTTATTTATTTGTTAATTTTTGCTCTTTATGGGTATGTTGATATTGATTCTTATCAGTAAAAAGTTATTTAATTATTTTTGCTAATTTAAAGTTCCTTTTTGAAGCAACCTGTTTTGAATTGATGATTATTTATTTGTAGGGTGTAATTAATTTGGAAACCTTGGGAAAACGAGGCTATCGAGTACCTTCATCAGGAACAATACAAGTGGTAAGTTAGGTTGGGATTCTATCTATATTGCTAATTGCTGTTCAGATGTATGGAATATTTCACATACATAATATGATAATGCAAAGAACCAACTTAAGCTGTAATATCCCTTGGTGGTTTCCTAGGCTTACTGGGAATAGAAATTAGATCTGTAATGGTTGCCAGGTTATTCATTAGTTTCAACATGTTAACAAAAAGCTTTCATTGAAATATTAATGAAAATGCACTAGGAATTGTTTTCAATAAAGCTATTATTTTTATTTGGTACTTCAAAATCAGTTTTATCACCCCGCCCCCCCACTTTTCACTTTTAAGTGCCTATAAGGAATGACTTACTGCTGTATGTGGGTTTGCAAGCCTGATAGAGAAGGAAGTAGTTAATTTGTTTAGTCCCTAATCACTGTCTCAGAGAATCCCAATATACCCTATTACTTTTGAAATGCACTTCTTGTTGAAGTACTGATAACAAGGACATCAGTTTTGATACAAGCTAATCTATAAATGAAAGAAGTTGAAGTTGCTTGGCAAAATAACACTAACCAGGACAGTGGAGAATGCTATGTTTGTCTTCACATTGCTTTGTGGATCAACGATAACACCTGAATGCTGATGCGGCTTTGATTTGAAGTCCCCTCTAATGATTGGTATATGCAACAATACAGCATTTCGTTGGCACTGGCCTCCTGTGAAAGAACCAAACCAAATTGACGCATGCTGTACTAAATGAGGCATCCCTCACAGAACTGCATTCTAGTGATTTAATTTTCTGCATTAGCTACATGGTAGCTGTAAGAGTGAAATACGGGAGGCTGACTCCTGAAAGCAATGTGGAAACACAGGGCCTCGTACAGGATATAACATTTGTTTTAAGAATAATGTTTTCTCAGATTATTGCAAGCTGTTGTATTTTACTATTATCTCTCGGTGTGACCTTAAGGAAACTAAGATTACTTGTGCTCATATATTGTGGAACTATTTTTGTTTTGTGAAATGCAGAAGATTGATAATTGGATGTGTAAAAGCTCCTATATTTTTGGACTCTTTGCCTTTTAGAATAAGTTGCTGTGTGACAGTAGAGGAAGATGATAATTCTATGCTCTGGAGGTTTAGCACAAGGTACTCAATGGTGGGATGCAAATGTGATTTTCTACCACTTTGCTGGACTTGCCAGTCTTCACACTGAGGACCACACCTAGTAGTTAGCACTGCTGCCTCACAGCCCAGGGACCTGGGTTCAATACCAGCCTCGGGCAACTGTCTGAAATTTGCACATTCTCCCCTTGTCTGCGTGGGTTTCTGCTGGGCACTCCAGTTTCCTCCCACAGTTCAAAGATATGTAGGTTAGGTGGATTAGCCATGGGAAAATGCAGGGTTACAGGGACAGGGTAGGGGGATGAGTCCAGATGGGATGCTCTTTAGAGAGTCGGTGTGGACTTGTTGGGCCAAATGGCCTGTTTCAACACTATTGGGATTCAATAGAGGATGCAGTAAGTGTAAGAAAGCCTGCTCCATCACACTTCTGAGAATCCTTAAAAAAATTCAGGAAAGGCATCACTATGCCATTAATTCATACCTTGTGTATATGAGCTTAACCTGCTATTTCCAAAGGGGAAGATGTTTCTTGCATGTATGCTTAACCTCAGTTGCTCCATGTTCTCAGGCAAACAGTAATCGTGCCTGTAGAAAGAACTCCTCATAAATTTAATTGTACTGCTATCGGTGATCAATATTATATGAAATAGGTTATATGTGTAGTGTGAACAGGTATTGAAATCACTTTGCCTTGATTTCATAAACATGTCACCACATTTTGTGCATGTTATTTCTGTTTTTGATTAAATTCATTAATGCCATGCAATCTTTTGTTATTTTTGAGTAATGTAATACAAACCTCTAATCTATTTCTAAAGCTGATGGAGTAAATTGTTTTTCAGACCTTATTTAACCCGAACAAGACAGTGGTAAAGATGTTTGTGGTGATTTATGATTTGAGAGATATGCCAGCCAATCACCAGACATTCCTACGACAGAGGACATTTTCAGTTCCAGTGAAACGGGAAACTCTTGGACATGCCAATAAAGAAAATGTAATTCAGACTGAGGAAAGGATACTTCGCTACCTCGTCCACTTGAGGTAACTATAAAAATAGAATGCTTCAAAGTTATATTGCAGTTGGTCTTGGAGTGATAAGTATGGTATTTGTAATGGGCTTTGCTTGGATAGCTGTGAATTATTTATAGTTCTGAAACAGAAACATAAATTGCTGGAGAAACTCAGCAGGTCTGGCAGCATCTGTGGGAAGAAAGCAGATTTAACCTTTCAAGTCCGGTGACTCTTCATCAGAACAGGACTTAAAACGTAAACTTTGCTTTCTTCCTACAGATGCTGCCCTACCTGCTGAGTTTCTCCAGTAATTTCTGTTTCTGTTTCTGTTTCCGTTTCAGATCTCCAGCATCTGCAGTTCTTTGTTTTATGTTGTTCATAGTTCACTTGGTTTCTATGCAAAATAACAACCTTCAATTATGTTAGTGTCCAAAGGATTTGAAAACTTCAAATTTAAAATCTGTTTATTTTTCATGTAATGAAGTAATAAAATTCTTGAGTTTTTTAATAATTATTATAGAACTGACTGACAGACACCATTGGAAATGAACATGAAACCTGGTTTGTGTTTTTGTTATTTTAACCAGGGACATGATTAAAACTGGAAAGCGCACACAACTGGTTATTCCTTAGCCTAGGACAAAACTGGAACAGTAATTTTTAAATGAACTTCATGGTTATGCAATGACCACCAAATCAATGCTTTCAACACTGATTAAAGTCAAATTAATGCCTAGACAGAGGTGGGAACTAGCATGTTGTTGTTCAAGACTTCTGTTCAGTGAAGTCCTTCTCTTCTGCCTATTATAGTATATGCAATACAGATACATGCTATGTTTTTCTAGCTGCTGTTGTTAAGTTACCATGAGTGTATATAAGTGCCATGTAGGGGGAGGAAAGATGATTGCATGATTTTTTTTTTGTCTAATTAACCCAGTATCTGAATCAAGCATTCAAAAGTCTGCTTAACCACAGTTATAGTACAAGTTCCTCCTACACAGACCTAATAACATACCAAAGGCCTAGTCTGACATAAAGCCAACGATACTACATCCACATAATATTTCCGTTGCAGATCTAAGAGAATATTGTCCTTTGGATTCATAAATTCTGAAGTTGCAGCTGAAATCTTGAAACTAGAGTAAGACTTGCCTCGCTAAGGGCGGATGTCCAATTTGTGCTTGAGTTTCAATTCAATCCTTGATCTAGGAAAGCAACTTTGCTGTGTTGTGACTGAGTGATTTATCGATTTCTTTAAATAAATGTGATGTGGAGGTGCTGATGTTGGACTGGGGTGGACAAAGTCAGAAGTCACACGACACCAGGTTATAGTCCAACAGGTTTATTTGAAATCACAAGCTTTTGGAGTGTAGCCCCCTCATCAGGTGAAGTGAGAAAGAAGGACACAGGCACAGAATTTATAGGCAGAGAGATCAAAAGATCATATAAATGTGTGAGTGGAGTGTTGAATAATAAGTCTCTGCAGGTGATCAAAAGTGTCAGATGGTGTGAGTAAAATGTCATCAGCTAAATAACCAGTGACAGGATGACCTATAATCCGATTAAATAAGGCAGAGAGATATTACGAAAAATTAAAAATAAAGTGGTGCTGGAGACAAACTCAAATGACTGAAATAACATGATAGGTATATGAGTCGCATGTTGAGGGTCTGACCAGAGTATTAAGTAATCTAAAACTGTACAGCACCAGCACCATCCTTGGTCTCTCTGCCTATGAATTCAGTGACTGTGTGCTTCGCTCACTTCACCTGACGAAAGGGCTACGCTCCGAAAGGTTCTGATTCCATATAAACCTGTTTGGACTTATAACCTGGCGTCATGTGACGTCTAACTTAAATGAACGTGGTCTTTATTCTGTTTTATACATGTGAGCCAGATTTACCCAGTAGTAAGATTTCAAACAGATTTTGTCATCAGTATTATTCTTCTTCTAGAATGAATGAATGAATTAATTATTCAGTTGATTTGAGTACTGATGCCGAATTTTACTGAGCGGTATGAAAAGAATTTATTGGTAAACAGGATTTTTTTGTATTGCCTATTGCTGTTGTAATAACCAGATTACTGATTGATGTGCTGCAAACTTTCATTTCTAACAGACAATTTTCACAGCAATTTGTGTCCACTGACAAAACAATACAGGTAGATTGAACAAGAAGTTACTTAATTTTCCCCATTTCTTCACTGGATTTATCTGACAAACTTGTTTCCTAAAATGGAGATTCTTTTCAATGACACTTTTTTCTTTATTCTCCATGCAAAATGTGCAAAATTTGGATTTTTTTTCATTTAAATCTAAAAATATTATGGAAAGGTAGCTAATAATATATTCAGCACCAGTACGTTTCTTTGATTTCAATGCTTGGTTTTCCAAGGTAAATGTGAACTTTGGTGTCAAAAAAATATGCTTAAGTTGTAGCTATAGAATTAAACTCATCAGTTGCTCACTTTTGTAGCTCTAGAAGGACCATCCCTGCATAACACAGCAGCACTGGTGATTTTTATGAGTAGCAATAAACTTAAGTGTGTAAATAATAGCCCTAACTCCAATTTGCTGGTGTGTGAAAAAGAGGGGAGGAAAATATTGTGGAGTGAATTTTTCTGGCAGAATGCTATATGTATATTTCAGATCTGACTAGAGCAATATTCTCTGATTTGCTTTCTACCTACAACAGCCCTCTGGTGTCAAATCCACAAACATTCAGTCCCTCTATCATCAATGCTCAGTAGCAGTAATGTGTACTATCTACAAGATGCACTGCAGAAATTCACTGAGGTTCCTTAGACAGCACCTTCCAAATGCATGACCACTACCATGTAGTAGGAGAAGTACAGAAGTTACATGGGAGCACCACCATTTTCAGGTTCCTCTATATATCTTCAGTTTCACTGGGTAAAAGTCCTTGAACTCCTACCCAACAGTATTGTGGATCCACCCACACCTGTTGGACTTCAACGGTTCAAGAAAGCAGCTCGTCACCACCTTCTAAAATGACAAGTAAGGATGGGAAATGAATGCTGGCCCAGCCAGTAACACAAACTTCCCATGAGTTCATTTTTAAAAATTACCACATACTTAATAAAGGAGCTCAGACATTCAGATATACTAAGAAATGGGCTAAAGGCACAAACGCTTCTGGATTCAAAAAAGAAACAATTCAAAACAGTATACAAAATATATAGTATGGAGGAAAGTTACTTGTGTTATATCTTGCAATTTTTTTCTTCCCCCATGTAGTCCTTCCATTTGAGCAGTTTTAGTGTTCAAAGATTGAGTTCTAGTTGAGGAAGACTTACATAATTCTCAAAATGAAGTACAAGATCTTGAAGGGAACTTACTCCTATCACTAATGAAATAATTATACTGCACTTCCATTTGAGTTTGTTTCCAGGTTTTATTTTTATTTAAAAAGAATGATAATTTTGCATTGAACCATCACATACAATTCCACATTTGAAACTGATAATTACTGCTGTGGGCCAACACCACATAAAGAGTGCAAGGATAGTGGAAGGAAAATTTTGTCTTTGTGTTGTGGGTTAATCATGGGGTTTCTTCTTTAATAGGAAGACTTAGATTTATACAGAGCTATGGTTAGGACCTTTAGCAGCTTTATGATATCCCAAAGCACTCCACAGCCAGTCAAATTTTTTTTGAAGTGTAGTTACAGTTGAAATGTAATGGTCAAGTTCATAAAGGTGTTTGAAAAATGAAGCTCTTGGTTTTAGAACAGGTTTTTGAAAATAAAAGCCAAGAGGGGATGGCTCCTCCTCCTCCTTTATCAGTTCACCAAGATCCATCGACACTATGAATTTTCCAAATTGAAATTAGTGCTCTCCCACATTTTTTGCTTCAAAGTTTGCTAGGCCAGAGATTTTAGATGATCACTGCAACATTTGAATTCATTATTTATTAAAACATTTAACTTATTTATGGGCGTTTAGACCTGTCCCACCCAATCTCTGCTCTTGTGAACCATTCCACAAATTGTTATAAAAGGTAAATTTGTCAATATCAATATTTTCTTGAAGGTAGGCAGATAATTTGCCTTCTGGGCAACTAGAGATGGACAATAAATGCTGATCTAGCCAGCAACACCCTCATCCCATGAATAAATTTTATAAAAATTGAACCTTTTTCTATATATTACAAATAGATATTCAATGAATGAATAATGTAAATATTTTGTGTTCCAGGTTCCAGAGTTCTAAATCTGGAAAGATCTACCTCCATAGAGATGTCAGACTCCTTTTTTCTCGAAAGTCAATGGAAGTTGACAGTGGTGCTGCATATGAATTAAAATCTTATACAGAGATTCCAACAAATCCTCATTTTTCAGCACGATGTTAGAAGCATTTGTATTCTTTAGGACATTTTTCCTGTTTTGTTTTCTGGAGAATGGCACATGTTCAGCTAATTAATGGAAATAAAATAATGCACAATACATGATTGTGAGAATTTATTGGTACTAGTCTTTTAGAGCCCCAGCACCTATTAGACAGTGGACCAGTCTTGTGTAAGTGTTATGAATAAACTCCCTTGTACTTAAATGGAGCAGTAGACTGGAATGAAAACCATGATATCCTGATATTATCTGTACTGTTACAATGGAAGTCACAAACCACTTTATTGGATGTGTTGCAATAGTAAAAACCAGAAATAGTTTAGCGTTTAAACGTTTTATTTTATTTGTCTTTTTATTTAATATTTAAATTAATGTTTCACTTATTGCACAGGTAATTTTTGTCCTGTTTAGTGTTATTATGTAGCATAACGTTATGTAAAATCATACTCTGTATTTCTTTTGACATGAATAATACACAAATGTACAAAACAAATGTAAAGTTCTTTGTCTGTCTGTCTGTCTATCTGTGACTGTGTGCAAAGAAGTATAAGATTTTCATTGTTAAGATTTCAGTCTTTGCATATTGTTCCCCGAGAAACTAGTCTTTCCTAAACTAGTCCAACAATGGACTATAGTAGAGCATAGTGGAGCAATTTACACAATTCTTATTATGTTCACTCCACCCACAATCACCCCCTCCCCCTCCAAACCAAAGGTTCTAACTCATGCTGTCAGTTTCTTGTCCGAGTGGTCAGTCTTCTGATGTGATCTTAAACAATTAATTCTCAGGTTATTTAATTTTGGAAGGCAACACAACATTTTTCTCACTAATTATTCATACATAGCATTATCTAATAAGTCTGACTCAATGAAAATCATTAATAGGTAAGTTCCTCTCCATAGCACAAAGACAGTGAAGAAAATTCTAGCGACCAAGTTTAAATAATTCTTTTTTTTCTATGGGTTGATCCTGCCATCCTTAACAGTCACTATGAATTTTCATTACAATTTTAATATTCTCCTGAATGAAATATAACAACTTGTACTACTACAATATTTTCAACATGGTAAATAACCCAATATTTACAGAATCAGAAAAGTTGAAGAACAATTAGGGAAAATAACTCGAAGTAATAATCCAAATCTAAGTTTTGAGGAAACTTTTTTGACAATGGCAAAGGACTAACAAGCTAGAGGAGTTTAGGAAAAGCATTTGAAAAGAAATGCAAATAGGGAGTTGGTGTGGGATGGCAAAATTTTTGGACAGTTTCCCATTTCTGTAGACTAGAGTGAGAGAGGAGGTCTATTAATAAAGAGTTAAAGCTCAGCCTAAAAGTGACAATGATGTAAACAAAAATCTGTGGTGGTGGTGAGGTTTTTCTTTGATGGTGTGTGATGGTGGAGGCTTGACAAGCTTACTGTGGAGTTGGTGGGGACTTTTGCATCACTCTGGCTTTGCTGTTTGGATGACGTTCTGATCAAATGTAATGATACAACAATAGACCTGAGTATCACTAACACATTTCTGGAAGGTGGAGCAATTCTTATCATGCAATTGAAGGTAGCACATAGACTGAGCAGGAAGCTTTCAGAATGGTACTCCATGACCCTTTCAAGATGACTGAGTGGATGAGGGCAATGCTAATATAGTTAGAAATTAAACAAACTAAGGATAACACTAGAAAGATGGATCCCAGAGGAATGTTGGTGGAAGGGATCAAGTGATTAATTGTGTTGAAATAAGCATAGAATGTAGAATGATAAGGAAGGATAATCTGTCGTTATTGAATTCTCAAATATATCTTGATGTTGCAAATAGGGTTGAAATGATTGCATTTAGATAAATTTAGAGAGATGTGTACATATCTGGATGTTCAGAGATCTTGGGAAAAGGAGATTACAAATGAGTGGTAGTCACAAAGGTTGAGGATGCGCATTTTTAGAGTAGTTTTGCAAAATAGGAGAACTGTGCCTGAAGCAAGGAACTGAATGATAATGCAACACTGTGTTTAACTGAAGAAATAAGTTCCAAAAGTATAAGTTGGTTAGGGGTTAAGTAGAGTGTGAAGGAAATGAGTTGTAAAGCAAGTCAAGTTAAATGCGAGCTTGTAGTGGATTCTTCAAGTATTGATGCATCATCAAATGTTGAGGTGAAGATTTCTTTGCATTCATCTATCCAACTTAAAGAATGGAGACACCTCTGTCTAATTTATTGCTGCAGTGACAAAGCTAATATAGCAAATCTTGCAAAAGAAGAATCAGCACTGTCACCATAATTCAAAGTCATGTGATAATGTTTTTCTTTACTGTTTAAATACACAATACTGGATTTTGAGGGGGATAAATACAAAAGACGCAATTACCATATCAATGTTGAGAAAACTGTCAATTCCAATTATAAGCAATATATGCATCTTGAATTGTTTAAATATTGTTTGCATCATGGGTCATCAGTGAATCCTGAGATATAATGTAATCCTAATCCCATCTCATTTCCACCTCTGGATTAATTTGCTACAGAAGATGATGCTCCAGAACACTGACGAGAAATTGAATTATGTAAATAAGCAGAAAAGATAGATTGGTGTTTGTGCTTTTTGAAAGGAGCAGTGTTTCTCCAATAAAACAAAGAATTGCAAATGCTGGAGATCTGAAACAAAAGCAGAAATTGCTGGAGAAACTCAGCACGCCTGGCATCATCTATGGAAAGAAAATAGAGTTAAGGTTTCATAATGGGTGACCCTTCTTCAGAAATGTTTATAACTGTCCATAGGGAAAGAAGTTGAGCTAATTGGCATTGTAGGAGGTGTTGATCATCATTATTTGAGGTTGGCATCCACTCAGGGTTATGAGCTTTTGACATAGGTCTTTACGTGACTGACCAGGCTAATTGTTGACCTGCAGATCTTTGTGCTAAGAGAGCTGATGTCCCACAGCAGTGGGATCCAGGGCGCAGGAGTTTCTTCCTTTTCTTTCCTTCCCTGCCTCATCTTTGAGACCTTTGAATCTAAAACATGATGCAGTTTGACTAACAGGTCGTTGTTATTTTGGACAGTTGGTAGCTACCTCCTCCCAGTCGTTAATGCCAATACTGTTGCCTCTTAGCAAGAGCTTCAAAGTGTCTTTATAGTATTCTGATTGTCCTGACTTGGACTGCTGGCCGTTTAAAAATTGAGAAAACAGGAGTTGGCTGGGGAGATGCTTTTCAGCCATCCAAAGATAGTGTTCACTCCACCATGTTTGATTTTTCAGGAGCTTTGTCCATCTTGAAACCAAATCTACAATCTGACATTAGTGTTTGTTTGGGCCTCCCGTTGAATCCTGAGGCTGCAGTGGAGCCGTGGTTAGTTGAATTTCTCTGAAGCTGTCATGTGTCACTGATACAGTTCATGACTCACTGATTTGCAGGAATGTGATGAGAACTGTGTGTACACCAGGACTTTGTTGATTTATTGAGGTCTTTGTCAAGCCTCGCAGCTGTAGTTTGTAAAAGACCGAGCTGGTGCAGTTGATCTCTTCATCAAATAGCCTTTTGAGAGTGGTATGGGTAGTGCACATCATTACTGAAGGGTTTCTCCTTCAGCATGTATAGGGCAGCTGCCTATTTACATGCACTTATTTCAACAAGTTGCAGTTGTGTTGTCTAATTACATTTTTTAATTTGGTAATTCATATGCAATTTTGAGTGATTGTCCTATACAAATGTCTAGACAAAAGCAGTCCAAACCACTTTAATATTTGCAGCTCTGAAAATCTACCAGCCTCCCACTCCAGTGAGACGCTAGCTGAATCCAACATAAAGTAGCAGTGACCCAATTGCATCTCCTACCTTTTGTGGAACCTTTGTCCTCTCTTTACATGACAAATGTGATCAGGTTTAGATTTGGAGCTAAGTGTTGGGACCCACAGTGGTGTGAGTTCCTGCTTTTCCTGGTTCAGCTGTGACCCCCTGTCAGAGTCCCAGTATGTCGAGGGAGCTGAGTCTGACATCAGGCAGGATGGGCTAGATGTTGGAAAATTGCTAAACTATTACCAGAAAATGTGGTAACAGGGCAACAGATAAATTTAAGAGAGTTATGTACATATCTGGATGTTCACAGTGATTCAGAGATCTTGGGAAAAGGAGATTACAGATGAGTGATAGTCAAAAAGGTTGAGGATGTGCATTTTTAGAGAGAGAGTAGTTTTGCATGGCATGATTAAAGAGAGTCAAAAAGGGTTTATGAAAGGGAAAGAGTTTGATAAATCAGTTGAGATTTTTTTGAGGATGTAACCCCAGAAGGTGGATAATGGGGAGACAGTGGATGTTGTTAGTGTACTTAGACTCTCATAAAACATTAGGGTGCCACACAGGAGATTATTATGCAAATGAGAACTGATAGCTTTGACCGTAATAGATTATTGAGTGTAATGAAGTGGGAAAGTTAATTGCCTCAACTCACTGGGATAGCATACTGGACGTCAAGCCTTGCTATTCCCAGTCATCATAACTGTTAAACTTTTCAAAGGAAATAAGCAAAGATCCTCAAATTACTTATGTTCAGACCCAAGTTGATAGAAAGCACAGTCCAGGTTTCTGTAATTAATGAAAAATACTGTCTATTACAGATAAATGTATTCTAGCTACGGGTCAACAATTAAATGAAGTAAATGCAAAAAATTAAAACTCAAAACCCCTTATAAACTTTCCCCTTCTAGACGCACAGACAGACAAGGATAAATGGGGGACAGAGAGAAAACTAGAAAAACAGTTCCGTAGTCTTTGTTCACAGAATCTGTTGAGATGGTTCTTGCCAGTCTAAAGATTTCTCCTCAACATTTTCCAGAATGCTTCCACTGGTTTGCATGAGGCACGGGGTAGCTGGTTCACTTACAAAAGTTCTCTAACTTATTCAATTCAAAGTCATAAGTTGTAGCATCTGCTGAAGGAAAGAGAAACTTTTTTTTCAAGTTTAAAGTGGCTTATTGAAGAGAACTTGGAGAGTTGTTTTGTTTGCAGACCTGCTGGTTTCACTTCTGGTCTGACTGCCTTGTTCATTGCCCAGGCTGTTCAGCTACCTGATAATCAATAGTTGTTGCCAGCCAGAAGACCTTCGTCATTGACAACTGGCCACTCGTCCACACCAATCAACTTCACTTGCAAACAACCCCTCAGCTTCAGTTCGTCTGTACATTTCTGGTTCACAATGAGTATCAAATTCCTTGCTTTCAAAACATGCAACCTTCCTTGTAAATCCTGAGCAGTCCTGCAATCTGGCTTAAAATAATTTGGGTTGGAAAGAAAATTAGCGAGACAGGGAAAATTTTGTATATTTGAAGAAATTTTCCATTCTAACAATTATGTCTGAAGAGGGATGTTAGAATTGTCAAGAAAGATTATACAGGATGGATCATATTTCAACAACAACTTATATGTAAATAGCATCCTTGACCTAATAAACCATCCCAACATGATTCACAGGATTATAAAAAATGAAATTAAACACTAAGGCC